TGATTTGGATCCTTCTTATGGGCTCCCTATCCATAGAGATTGCCATTATTAATCATTAGAAAGAACCAATAAATTGATTTTGAAATGCTACCTGAGAAAAGCACCAATTCCAGTGTGATCTGTGCCTGGGTTTTTTATAAGGCAACCCATTCATGGGAAACCCCAGATGTAATAATCTATTTAGCTACCATGGTTGCATACTGTACATTAGCTAAGCAAAATTTCTCTTTGGTAAATGGAATACAGAAAGTATATTAAATTCACTAACTTCCCCAAGGTTTTTGCGCTTTTTTTGCCATAAGACCTTAATCATAGGAGGCGTTTCAAAATTCTCACTGTGTGTGATTCCCAAGCATGAAGCTCTAAATGCCCTTTGGCTGGTATATTTCTCCCACTGGTTCTGATACAATTTTTAAAGGAGAAAATCTCTTTCATATGCATCTCAGTCCATGGCAGTGTCACCATTGGTTTGAAATCCAGGGAAATACTTTTATCAGCCTGGCACATGCTCCTGCGTTACGGCAGCACACTCAATCCTTATAACAAGAACTGCCCACGTTGCGCTTCGTGTCTAGCTTTTCAAAATGATACTAGGCTTTCTTTCCTGAATCAATTTCCTTTACAGTCTCATATTCCTTTGGTAAAAATTGTTTCAATCTGTCCCATTTTTGAGCCAAATTTCTCAGCTTTTCTTTGAGATCCAAAATTCTCTGTCAGGCCTGGTTTATATGTTAGATCACAGTAGTGTCTCAAAGTAAAACCAGCCTTATTCCAGTTTGTTTCTGGGAATTGACAGGCAACCCTTAACACCATAAGGGACTGGGTTTGAAACCTCCTTGTAAATGTTAAGCAATTGCAAAAATGGCACATTAGGAACATTTGTTCTGAAATTTTCCTTTCATGTCATAGGTTGATTACATATTTTCTTTATCTACTTGTTTTCTTCTTAAATCATGTACTTAACAATGGGCATGAAATTTTCTGGCTTAATCATCAATAGTGTGGCTCTGAATACCTTCATTTCCTAGTGAACACCCTTGAAAATAACTCCAAAATCTCTTGACTGCATAAAAATTCTTTTTATTCCTAAAACTAGTTTCTTTGTCCACATTATGATAATACATTCATACCCTTTCAAATATGGCTTACTTTTAAAGTTTTTCTAAACAATTGGTCGGTTGACTGTGGTTCCAAGTTCCAATGGCCATTTCAGTGTCCTAGCTTTGCCCATATTCTTAGTGTGCTAACATATTCTACTCAAAGGTTTCCATTAGTATCTCAAAAATAGTAGAGTAACTATTCCCCTGGAATGCCACTCTTTGGGGCACCATTGTGTTTCCTGGATAAAACGTGGGAGACCGAATGCTTGCAGTGATCCAGCAGCTCTCCATTCTTCTCTGAATCTAAACAATGCAGCAAAGCAATGTCGTCCAAAAGGCTAAGCACATTTTTTTCTCAGACTCCCAGTTACCTCTATCATTGAGTTAAAAACAAATCTATTGATGTATGAGAAGACTGATTAGGAGCAAGGTCTTCAAGACAGTGGCATTAGACTGAGGGCAGGAATTTATCTTTCTACACTCCTGACTTCCATCTTTGTGGAAGTCTAGTTCAGGAATACTTGAGGATATTCTTGGTTTTATCATTAAAGATCATTCAGGAATTAAGTGCAGAAGGTGAGATGAGCCACGCTGATGAAGAGAGGCTTACAGAGGTCAAGCATTTCACAGAACAAACACAACTGTATGAGGTATCAGCACCACAGGGGTGGTCAACAAGTCATTCTTTCAACAAATAAGTGCCTCTGTATGCCAAGCACTGAGATAGCTACCTTGGGGTGATGGAAGAAGCACCTCCCTAAAAATAAATCTAAACAAATGAAAGGATTCCATACACTTCTCAGCAATAGAAGACATGAACTTACAAAATAATTGATATGAGGGACAGGTGCTATGGTGCAATAGGTTAATCTTCTGCCTGTGGTGCCAGCATCCCATATGGGTGCCAGTTCTAGTCATGACTGCTCCTCTTCCAATCCAGCTCTCTGCTGTAGTCTGGGAAAGCAGTAGAAAATGGCCCAAGTGCTTGGGCCCCTGCACCTACATGGGAGACCTGGAAGAAGCTTCTGACTCCTGGCTTCAGATTATCCCAGCTCTGGCTGTTGTGGCCATTTGGGGAGTAAACCAATGGAAGCAAGACCTTTCTCTCTGTCTCTCCCTCTCACTGTCTGTAACTCTACTTCTCAAATAAATAAATAAAAATTAAAAAAAAAAAAACAAGCAAACTGATACTAGTAACAATATATATGAATCTCACAAAATTATGAATAGTGAAAAGAAGGTACACCCCCCCAAAAGAGTATATCTTTATTTGATTCTATTTATATAGAATCTGAAAAGTGCAAATTAATAACAGTGATCAAAAGCAGATCAGTGGTTGATTAGAGCAGTGAGGGGCTAGAGAGAGGAAATACAAAGGGGTACAAGTAAACTTTTAGAGGGTGATGCACATGTTCACTTTTTTACAAGTTAACTGATTTTTATTTGAGAGACAGAGACACAGACACAGAGATCTTCCATCACTGCTTCACTCCCTAAGTGCCTGCAACAGCTGAGCTGGGTCAAGCCAAAACGGTCTAGAACTCATTCTGTGTCTCCCATGTGTGGCAGAGACCCAGTACTTGGGCTGTTACCTGCTGCCTCCCTGGGTGTGCAGTAACAGAAAGCGGGAGTCAGGAGCGGGAGCTGGCAATAAACCCAGGCACTCTAATTTGGGATGCAGGCATCTTTACTGCTAAGTTAAACAACCCCATCTCCCCCTGCCATGTTCACTGTCTTGATTGTGGTGATGGTTTTCAGGGCTTTATAGTTCTATCAAAGCTTACTGAATTGTATACTTTAAACATTGTATACCAAAATACCACAAGGAAACTTGTTTTCTGTTTAAAATATGGGAGAAAAAAGAGGGAAGGAGGGAGGGAGGAGTGGAGGGAGGAAGGGAGAGAGGGAGAGAGGGAGAGAGGGAGAGAAAGGGAGAGAGGGAGAGAAAGAGAGAGAGAGAGAGAGAGAAAGAATGAATTGCAGACCCTTTCTTGCAATTCTTTCTTGGTCACCGACACCAGATGGTTTCTGATTGTAAGATTCTTTTTTTCAGTACTTTGCTGCATTTTTAACTGCCAGTCTGCTCTACAGATTCAGCTTTCTAGTCTTAGGTAGAGCTGGCCTATAAAATCCTTCACTTCAGCTGGTCCAATCTCCTCTTGAACCTGAAATGCAGCTTGTACTCCCTGTCTCTGCCTCCATTTGCTGAGATGTTTCTTCCATTCTAAATGACCCAAATTTTCTCTCTCCTTCCAGGGCCAATAAGATTTATTTCATAGTCTTTCCTAGCTGTTTGTTCAGAAAAAAAATTTCATACCTTCTTCAAGTTTCTCTAGTATTTATAATCTAAACTGCTCTTTTGGCACCCATTTGCTGCCTTGTATTATTTGCTTTTCATGTGCATATGTCTTACCTTTTCAACTAGATTATGAACTACTTCAGGGCAGGGACTGCTTCATATTTATCTTTGTGTCTCTCCCAAGGCACTTAGTAAGTGCTTAATAAGTGTCAATTTAAACAACCTAATTTTTATAGTCTTTTTCAACACACTTTCTCAGCCATTATCTCATTTGATCATTACATCAACACTATGAGATTGGTGGAACTAGAAATATGCTATTTCCTCCTTTTGACAGATGAGGATCCTGACATCCAAGGTCACAAGGCTTGTTAAGAGACACAGACAGAACAGATAATTGCCTGATCAAATGCAAGGCTTCCCAGCGCTGACTCCTCTAGCTCTACCTTCCCTCTGAGGTGGGCTTCTGCACCCTTCCCCTGCTCACGTCCTCAAGCACTTCGGAGCTGCGTAACCAGAGCTTTGCAGTAGTGCCATACTGGAGAACTTGACAAATCCGGCAGACAGCATTCCAGTACATTTCTGATCAGCTCTGAGTCACCAAAGCTTGCTTGCTATTTTGTTCCAAGTGTCGTTTGTTGGGGACATTACGCCTGATATTTAACGATGCTGCACTACAGAGTTGAGGAAGCATAAATGATTTTTAAAAGCCTTAGGAAATGACAGCACTCTAAGATTAAACATGAAAGGCGGCAGCTGACGAGCTGACCAAGGATGCAAAATGTCTGCACTGGAGCATGCCGTGCCTCTACGCGTTCTAGAATTCTCCAGCTGGTCCTAAAGGGAATGGGCAAACTCTAGCCCTGCGACGCCTTCCCCAACCCACCCTGAGGCTATCAGCTGCTTCTCTGAGGCCGGAGATTGGAAGAACTTGGTGCCGTTTGTTTAGCACCAAATAATATCTTAAAAAAGAGAGTAGATTCCAGTCACCTCTGCAAACAGGGTGGGTTTCAGAAGCAGGCAGAGGTGAATGAAGGAGGAGAGATAAAGAGGAGGCAGAGAAGCTGACAGGAGGAGGCAGAGCCAGCCAGAGCCCGCCGCCAGCCCAGCCGGGCAGGAGCAGGGCGCGAATCGGGCAGAGCTTGGCAGGAAGTGCCCGAGAGCAAAGCCCAGGTGAGGAGACTCTAGGTCTGGGAAGGCTCAGAGGGCCATTGGGTCAGGCTTGGACTCTCTGAGCTGTGACCTTGAACATAACCTTTTTGTACTCTAGTTTTCCTATCTGCAAAATGGGTACGCTAGTGACTTTCTTCGTCTGGACCTGTAATAATTACATGAGGCAAAACCTCGGCCTAGTGCCTGACTCATCCGGCACCCTTAACAAATGCTGGCAGTCATTACCATATTCTCGACGTTTGCCCTTCAACGGGGGATGGGGAAGGTACCGAAAAGACGGCTCCAGGAGGCCTTCGCCGACACCGCCATCTCTCCCAGCTCCTTCCTACAGCTAGGTTGGGGACCAAGGGCGCGCGTCCCGCGAGGGGGCGGGGCCCGCCGTTCCCGCCTCGAGTGTGGCCCCGCCCCCTCGCCTCGCGGCCTCCGCGGCACTCTCCGCCTCTTCTGCCCCCGGCTTTCCCGCGCTGTCCTCCCGGGCCTCGCTTCCCCCGGCCCCTGCGCGGGCCCGACTGAGAGGTTCCGGAGCCAGGCCGCCGGCTGGGTGTGGACGCTGCCGGCCCTTCCGCCCCAGGCCCCTCGGCACTGCCTCGGAAGCCTCGGCTTCCCCAGGGAGTGCAGGTTTGCTTCCGAGGGTCGGCGGGCCGCGCTGCGGGAAGGAGGAGCGCGCTGGGAAGGTCAGTGCGGCCAGCCCCCGGTCTCGGGCCGCGGAGGCCGCCCTCGCCCTTGGGAATCCTTGGCCGCCCAGACAGAAGGGGAATCGGCGCCGGGGAGCCCGTTCTGCATTTTGATTCATCTTGGGCCCTGTAAGGGTCACATCTTGTGAAAATACCTGTAAAATCAATTTAACGTTCAGTGCAGCGTGTAAAGACAGCTCTAAGAATTTAAAAGACGCCTGAGTCAGAACATTTAAATGCTTGGGTCCCTGTAGCAGTGTTTTAACACGTCTGAGTGCAGAGGGTGGAGAATCGAGCCTTGATTGCCGCCACTGTGCACGCCCTGTAACATTTTAAAAGGGTAAAGAAAGCACCCTGAGAAACCCACGTGGGCCCTTCCCTTCCGGAGGGAACAGAGTTGACTTTCTGAAATTTGAGTTGGTCCTCACCACCGCCCGTGAAATTTGCCTACAGAAACTTTTATGTGCGGCCTTAGATCAGCAATAAACAGAATTGTTAAAACACTGGGCTTAACTAAGTAGTGGCTTTTGTTGACATGTCGATTGTGTTAATTCTTAATGTCTCATCCAAAAGCAGGAAGCGTTATCTCAGTTTTGCAGGTGGAAAAAATAGTTTGGCACAAAGAAAGCAGTTTCCCTTAAATTCACACAGAAGCAACGGCCGAGCAGCACATTAAGTCCTAGCATTCTGCCTCCTCAGCTGCGTTCCCCCTGTAGACCGTGCTACAAAACAAATGAGTAGTTACTTTGATGCTACTCATAAAACGGGCGAGTAAACCAAATGTGCTGTGAACGTGAAGTGTTAAATCATAATAACCTTCGATGTCTGCTCAGCTTTGGGAGGTTCAGCTGCCCTCTGGAGTCTGATCCCTTCCGGGAGAGGAGGAGGTGGAGCAAACGCATGGAAAACAATGTCAAGGGGAAAGTGTCTCCGAACTGTGCCATCTTCCCTGCTGCTCTGCGTTGATGTCATTCTTTTCTGGGTACTCCACGTTCTGGCCAAGCGCTCAGCGTCCCCGTCCCAGCCTTGGCCCCCTGAACTCTACCTTTGCGTTGCGTTGTTGGCCCTGACCTCGTTGTCAGCCTGCTTGTCACGCTCTTCCCTCCAGGTGCTCTTTACTAATGCTGCTGTGTGGAAACCAGTGGTTGCTGTTCCAGTGTGGAGTGATTCGTCGCTCCTGAAGGGTGATTCCAGAGTTAATGATCAAACGCTACCAACAGATCTTAGATGAAAGCCCAAGTTAAAGAAGCACAAAAAAGCTATTGTGCCATTTGATAGCTGAGTTATTTGGGGGAAAAAGCGGACTTTGATATTTTTTCCTCTTTCCCTCTTAACTGGAGAGCAGTGGTTCAGTTATAACCTTGACATAATGGGTGGAGTGGGGGAAATCTTCCTGACTAGACCCTAGTGAATTGGAAAGTTTTCTTTCTTTTCCAGAGGCTCTTTTTTGGACAGCTTGGACTAAGTGGAGATTGGTGAGTAGAATGTAAAATATTTGGGCACTTGTGAGTCCATATGTCCAGAAAACTCGTGTAAGAGTTTGGGTCCCAGGATGCGTGACCTCGTCCCTTTCTGTCCTGTGTCTCTGAGGTGCCTTCCTTGCTTGTGGGCGGTGGAAAGTCGAACCCCAGGCTAGTTTCATCTGCAGCAGTCAGCCACTTACTCATCTTTTATCTCCTTTCGCTGGCTCCACAGATAAGAAAATCAAATGGCATCCGGGGATTACTGCTCGCCTGGAGAAGGGGTGGAAATGCTTCACCAAGGTAGTAGCCATTTGCAGGAGGCCTTTTTGTTGTTGAAATCTTTATTTATTTATTTGACAAGCAAAGAGACAGCAGAAAAGAGGAACATGGTGTGGGGGTGTGGAGGTGTCGAAAGCTCCCGTCCACTGGTTCGCTTCCCAAATGCCTGCAAAAGCAAGGCTGGGCCAGGCCAAAGCCAGGAGCCCAGAATTCCATCCAGGTCTCCCTAGGGGTGGCAGGGGCCCAAGTACTTGAGCCATCATCTGCTGCCTTCCCAGGATTTGTTAGCAGGAAACTGGATTGGGGCTCCCAAAGATGGATTAAAAAAAAATCTTTATTTATTTGAAAGGCAGAGTTGCAGAGAGGCATAAAGAGGGGTCTTCACTCCCCTAACAGCCACAGCGGCTGAAGCTGCACTGATCCCACCCCAGGAACCTCCTCTAGGTCTCTAATGCTGGTGCAGAGGCACAAGGACTTGGGCTATCTGCTGTTGCTTTCCCAGGCCATAGCAGAGAGCTGGATCAGAAGAGGAGCAGCCAAGACTCGAACTGGCGCTCATATGGGATGCTGGCACTGCAAGTGGTGGCTTTACCTGGAATACTACAGTGTGGGCCCCCAAAGGTGGATCTTTACAAGAGTTTTATCTCCTTCTTCAAGAACTCTAGTAAGTCTGGAACTGGCATTGTGGCATAGCAGGCTAAGCCTCTGCCTGTGATGTGTTCAAGACCTGGTTCTTCACTTCTGATCCAGCTCCCTGCCAGTGGGCCTGGGAAAACAGTGGAAGATGGTCCCTGCACTCACAAGGGGGACCTGCAAGAAGCCCCTTGGGGCTCCTAGTTTCAGCCAGCTCTAGCTGTTGCGGCCATTTGGGGAGTGAACCAGCAGATGGCAGATCTTTCTGCCTTTCAAATAAATAAATACATCTTAAAAAAAAAAAACTCTAATAATTTTGTGTGAATGAGGCATTTGGTTGCTGTGATGATCCCTACTGTAGGTTCCCTTTTTATCAGTTCTGTTTGTTTAATATATGCCAACTGTATTTCCATTTTCTAAGATCTTAGTTTTATTAGATACTCATTCTTCCTCAATTAATGTCCCTGCATATAACAAAAATACCTGTTCCCTTGAGTATTGTCTCTAGTATATTAGTTTTATTTTTATATATTTATTATATCTTTATTTTCATTTTATTTGAAAGGCAGAGAGAGACAGAGCTTCCATGTATTGGCTTATTTCCCAAATGCCCACATGGTGGGTACTGGGCCAGGCCAAAGCTGGGAGCCAGGAATCCAGTCCAGGTCTCCCACATGAGTGGCAGGTACTCAATCACTTGCCTCATCACTGCTGCCTCCCAGGGTCTGCATTAGCAGGAAGCTGGAGTCAGTAGTGAGAGCCCAGTGGATACCATGCATACGTGGGATGTCAGTGTCTTTTTTTTTTTTAATTGTATAGGTATTTTTGTTTTTTTAAGGATTTATTTTATTTATTTGAATGTCAGAGTTATGGAGAGAAGGAGAAAGAGGTTTTACTGCCATCTTAACAACTGGGCTAAATGCCTGATTTTTTAAGAATCTCATTAGCCGCTTTGTCCCGCGCCTTCTGGCATGCGGCCTTCTGGCTGCCCGCTCTCTGCTTTCTTGCCCATGCTACATTACCTTGGCTGCTCCTAACTTCATACTTGCTCCACTTGGTTCCCGGCCTGCTCTCTGCCTGGTAGAGTATAGGCATTGGGATCATATTAGCATGTGGAAGACACTGTCCAGTTCCTGGGAGAGCACATTTGAAGGGGCACAAATGGATGTGCAAAGACTTCACAGGAGAATACTGGGGTTCTCCCAGGCAGATGCTGATACGGCCTTGGACTAAAACAGCAGCAGAGGAGTTACAGAGCTCCTTGTAGATGCTCCTGGGACAGCGCTGAAAGATGGCCCAAGTCCTTGGGCCTCTGTACACATATGGGGACCCGGATGAAGTTCCTGGCTCCTAGATAAGGCCTGGCCCATCCCCCTGGCCATTGCTGCCATTTGGGAAATGATGGAAGATGGAAGACATCTCTGCCTCTTTCTCTGCCCCTCCCCTCCTCCCGCAGCTCTGCCCTTCAAATAAATAAAATAAATTTTTAAAAAATTTAAAAAAAATTAAAAATCTCATTAGCTTTAGAACTCTTTCCTAATGAAAACGTAGATTTCTTTGGGAAGTGATTATTAAGTTACGCACCATTATATAAAGTAAGAATCAAAACCTTTTTTGCTTTTTGTCCCTGTGGGGGCCGTGCCACGAAGTCTGCAGCAAACAGTTTCCTCCTTGTAACCTGAGTGAAGAGGATCTGTTACAGAACCCACACTTCAGCAGGCTGCTGCTGAGTCTCTCTGAGCGCATGGACGAGAGTGGCTTATGCCTCACCCTGGCAGAGGAGCAGGCTCAGGTAAGGGTCCTGCAAGAAAGACGTGAAGAGGAAGGGGAAATCCTCCTGGGAGAGCTTCCCCCATGGGATCTTTTGGTTTTCCAGGCATGGAAGGAAGTTCGAGTGCATAGGACAACATGGTTGAGGTCAGAAATTCTGCAGAGAATCATTCAGGAGCTGCTTGTGGACTACTATGTAAAGACGCAAGACACAAATTTAACTTCTGAGGACAAAAAGGTGAGGCAGAAGAGATTAGACAAAGGTCAATTACTGGCTAGAGCTTTGTCTGATTATGTGATTTAAGGGAAAAAATTATAGGACATCAAACGAGAAATGGACTGTAGTTGGAGGGGAAGAGTGGGTGTGTTGAAAGGTTTTGAAATAGAAAGATTGACAGGAAAAGTCACTTGCAGACATCTAAAGGGGATGACGTGTTTGAGGACTTTGAAAATGGTTTGTAAGATTGCAAGAGGTAGAATGGGACAAGTTTTACAGTCACCTCTCTGTTTTTTATTCTCTCTCAGTTTCATGAGACCCTTGAACAGCGACTGCTTGTGACTGAACTGACCCGACTCCTAGGTCCCAGCCAGGAGAGAGAGAAACCTCCACTGCTAGGGCTGGAGAAAGCAGACCTTTTGGAACTCATGCCGCCCTCAGAGGTCGGGAGTGGGCCAATGTCGGGACCAAAGAAGTGAAATGGCTTGTTTTCTCCCACATCCTTCAGATATTTTTGCTAAGCTTTATGTGGTTTTCTAAAATATGATATGTGTTCATTGTGATCAAACTAAAAAAAATTACACAGGAGAAAGTGAAAGCTGAAATACAGTTTCTAATAACAGTATTATTATAAATGGCTTGAGATAGATGGTACCCTCCATGGTTGTTTAGAATATAGTCTGTTTCCACGTAATATATTTTGGACTTTTTTTTTTCAAGTCGATACATAAATGTAGTGGTGGGGGTTGTGGCATAGCAGTTTGAGCTCCTGCATCCCACATTGGAGTGCCTGGTTTTTTGGTTCAATTTCTTGCTGGTGGGCCTGGGAGGCAGCAGACGATACTCTGAGTGCTTGGGCTCCTGGCTCCTGGCTTTGGCCTGGCCCAGCCCTGGCTGCTGCACACATGTGGAGAGTGAACCAGAAGATGGAAGTTCTCTCTCTGTCTCTCCCTCTTTCTGTCACTGCCTTTCAAATAAATAAATATTTTTAACAAATAAATGTAAGTAAGATGATACTTCTGATAGCAGTCTTAGCATACTGTCTGCACACACAGCGCTCAGTGTTCTCACTGAGTCATCAGTTTAAATCACTGCTGGATTCCATTGTTTTGAAGTAGCATAATTTGCTGGTCTTTAGTGATAGATATTAAGGTTGTGACCATATTTTTGCTATTGGAAACCACACTGAGATGAACATGCTAGTTCTTAGATGTCTTGCTTTGTATGATCATTTCCCTGGCATTGGCGCTAAAAGGGAGACCACTGGGTCAAAGCATACACACGTGGAATGTGTCTGTACATTTCCAGACTGCTTCCCCAGCTCCCAGCGTGCCACCTTTTTCACCTGCATGAGATCTTGATCATTTTCTTTAAAGATTTATTTATTTATGTATTTGAAAGACAGAGTTACAGAGAGGCAGAGAGAGAGAGAGAGAGAGAGGGGTCTTCTACTCACTGGTTCACTCCCCAAATGGCCGCAATGGCTGGAGCTGTGCCGATCTGAAGCCAGGAGCCAGGAGCTTCTTCCAGGTCTCCGAGGCAGGTGCAGAGGCCCAAGGACTTGGGCCATCCTCCACCGCTTTCCCAGGCCATAGCAGAGAGCTGGATAAGAAGTGGAGCAGCCGGGATACAAATTGGCAGCCATATGGTATGCATGGCACTGCAGGCGGCTGTTCCACCTGCTACGCCACGGTGCCAGCCCCGATCATTTTTAAAAAATTATATTTATTAGATGGGGCTGGTGCTGTGGTGTAGTGGATAAAGCTGCTGCCTGCAGTGCTGGCCTCCCATATGGGCTCTGATTCAAGTCATGGCTGCTCCACTTCTGATCCAGCTCTCAGCTAAGGCCTAGGAAAGCAGTAAAAGATGGCCCAATTCCTTGGGCCTTTGTACCTGCATGGGAGACCTGGAAGAAGTTCCTGGCTCCTGGCTTTGGATCAGTGCAGCTCCAGCTATTACGGCCAACTGGGGAGTGAACCAGCAGATGGAGGACATCTCTCTCTCTCTCTCTCTGCCTCTCCTTTCTCTGTAACTCTGACTTTCAAATAAATAAATAAATCTTAAAAAAGTTATATTTATTAGATGGACAGATGGAGCTTCCATCTACTGGTTCACTCTCCAAGTGTCTGTAATGGCCAGGGCCAGGCTGGGTCAATCCTGGGAGCTGGGAACTCAATCCAGGTCTCCCATATGGGTGACAGGAATGCAACTACTCGAGCCATCACTTCTGCATCCCTGGATCTCTATTACTGGAAAGCTGGAGGTGGAGCTGAAGGTGGCTTGTATATAGGCACTTTGATATTGGACACGGGCATCTTTTTTTTTTTTTTTTTTTTTTTGACAGGCAGAGTGGACAGTGAGAGAGAGAGACAGAGAGAAAGGTCTTACTTTGCCGTTGGTTCACCCTCCAATAGCTGCCACGGCCGGTGCGCTGCAGTGGGCGCACCGCGCTGATCCAATGGCAGGAGCCAGGTACTTATCCTGGTCTCCCATGGGGTGCAGGGCCCAAGCACTTGGGCCATCCTCCACTGCACTCCCGGGCCACAGCATAGATCTGGCCTGGAAGAGGGGCAACCGGGACAGAATCCGGTGCCCCAACCGGGACTAGAACCCGGTGTGCTGGCGCCGCAAGGTGGAGGATTAGCCTAGTGAGCCGCTGGTGCCGGCTTAGACACGGGCATCTTAACTGGTAGGCCAGATGCCTGCCCCTAGTTAGCCAAGTTATTCTTTGCTAATTAAGTAGGTTAACAGTGAATCTCCCTGGTGTCTCTTGATGCATTTTCTTTGTTATTACAAATGTCAGTTATCATGTATTCACTGGCTGGGTCTTCCTAGTTCTTTTTTTTTTTTTTTTTTTAAGATTTATTTTATTTATGTGAAAGAGTTACAGAGATAGGAGGAGAAACAGAGAGAGAGAGAGGTCTTCCATCCACTGGTTCACTCCCCAAATGGCCTCAACAGCTGGAGCTGAGCTGATCCAAAGCCAGTTGAACCAGTGCTAGGATGCCAGCGCTGCAGGCCAAGGCTTTAATCTGCTGTGCCACAGTGCCAGCCCCTATTTTCCTTGTTCTAACAGTCTATTTGTATCTCTATCGTGGTCCTGTGGCTGTAGGATTTTGTGTGGATGAGAGCCCGGCTCCAGCTAGAAGTGGAAGAGCAGCTCAAAAAGAAATGTTTCACTCTGCTTTGCTACCATGATCCCAATTCAGGTGAGTGTTGACTCCCTGTGCTCTGCTCACAGCTGGACTTCAGGGTTCCTGGTCTGCTCTTTTGCGACTGATGTATTGGATTTGAGATTTGGGACAGAAGCATACATGCACCAGGTTCTTGGCTGTTTGTTTCCTTGCTAGTGCAATAAAAGACTTTGGTGAGGACTCTGTTAGCGAGCTGGAGTGTCTGCCTGTGCTGAGAGGGCTGAGTTCTCAGGAGGACCAGAGTGGCAAAGGGAGGATCATAGGTGTTCCTCTTTATTTCTACGGCTTAAGAATTAAGGCACAAAACTGGAATCAAAAGTAAGAGTGAGAGAACTTAACTATGAGAGCTGGATGGGTTTTAGTGGCATCAGAAGCAAACCTGGAATGAAACAGAATTTGCAGGCTTGATGTGGGCTAGGGGCACCGAGAACTGGCCTTGGAAGAGCAGTAGCGAGCAGGGTTTCCAGTCTTGTCCTCTGCCTCCTTGCCCAGATGCCGACAGTGAAACCCTGAAGGCAGCAAAGGTGTGGAAACTGGCAGAGGTCCTGGTGGGCGAGAAGCAGCAGTGCCAGGACGCCAAGCGCCAGCAGCAGGAGCAGATGGTGCTGCTGGAGAGGAAGAGCGCCACCTACTCCCAGGTGTGCTGGGGCGGTGGGCAGCCCCCCTCGCCTTCACCCTGGCCCAGGTGCACCTCTGAGGAAGCCAGGGGTGCTCGTCCACCCTCCTGTCTGCCCTCTTCCTCTTTGTTTATGGCCTCTCCCTCCTCGGGGCTCAGGTGCTTCTCCGCTGCCTGGCCTTACTGCAAAGGCTCCTTCAGGAGCACCGGCTGAAGACTCAGTCTGAGCTGGACCGTATCAACGCTCAGTACCTGGAAATCAAGTGCAGTGCCATGATCCTCAAGTTGAGGTGAGCGGGGACCCGTGTGGCCCTGATTCTCCCTCACACACCACCCGCTCCTGCCCCTCACCCTTGGGCCATCCTCCCTCTTCCCTTTCCATGCCTAGCATCTTGTGGGTATCCAGTCCATGTCACACAGCCGTGTTAGCCTTTAGATGACCCAAAGGCTGTCAGCATTCTTAAGGTTGGCCTTTTACAGGCTTCTGACATAGGTGCTGTCCTGGGAGTTCAGTGGCCCAGGGATCAGAGTGACCTTGTTTACTCCATTGGTGCCTAACCCAGCTCTGACCCTGGGCAGGCACGGTGTCCCTTCCTAACTGCTACCACCAGTGATCTCCTGCATGACATTTCTTTCTGCCCGCTACCAGGATGGAGGAACTAAAGATTCTGTCTGACACGTACACTGCTGAGAAAGTGGAAGTTCATCGTCTCATTAGGTGAGAGCCCCCAAAACTCCCGGTACAGCTGTTCATAGCTGCTGCCTGCATGCTCCAGGCCTGTTCATTTTAATGTATTCCCATCTGAAGAGCAAAACCTTCATATGGAACCCTCTCTGCCTGGGCTCGCAGGGACCGCCTGGAGGGAGCCATCCGCCTACAGGAGCAGGACATGGAGAGGTCGCAGCAGGTTTTGAACACCTATGAGGTGCTTGGGGAGGAGTTTGACAGGCTGGTTAAAGAGTACACCCAACTCAAGCAGGCCACCGAGAACAAGCGCTGGGCCCTCCAGGAGTTCAACAAGGCCTACCGCTGAGTGTGCCAGGGCCAGCAAGCACGGCTCCTGCATAGCCACGGCTCCTTCCTGCTGAAAGGAGCACCTCCCCCAGGGACTGCCTCACTACAAGGGAGTGGGGGGGCACCCCCTAAAAACTTAGGCACCCTCCTGGTTTCTCTTCCTCGCTTATGATGACTGAGCCCTTTCTGAAAAATTTAGCAAGCAGATTGATTCATTTTATGCATAGCTGTTTGTCAGTGTCAGCCCTGTACTGTATTTGATTATTTTCTAAGTAAAATGATATTACTATGTCTCAGGATTTTAGTCATTTTCCTTGGGCAAAGATGGGAAAAGAAGATCCAAGGCTATGTGAGTTAGGAGGGAGGACTGAGAAGACAAATCTAAACAGAGACAGAGGGGCAGACATTGTGGCACAGTGGTTAAGCTGCTGCTTCAGACAAACCCATGGCAGAATGCCTGGGTTGGAGTCCCAGGTCTGTTTCTGATCAGTTTTCTTCTAACACACACCCTGGGGGGCAGCAGGTGATGGCTCAAGTTCTCGGTTCCATGCCATTATGTGGGAGACCTCAGTGGAGTTCAGAGCTCCTTGCTTCAGCCTGACCTGGCCATGTGTGTGATGTTTGGAGAGTGAGCCAGTGGATGGAAGATCTCTTTGTTTCTCTCTCTCTCTCTCTCTCTCTCTCTCTCTCTCTCTCTCTCTCTCTCTGTCTCTCTCTCTCTTTCTCTCTGATGCTCTATTTTTCAAATAATAAATAAATAAAATTCAAAACAAATAGAGAAATGTCTGTCATGCATATGCACAGGGTGGGAGGTAGCAGTGTCAGCCTGTGGCATCAAATCTGAGAGGCTTCATGCTGGGAGAGAAGTGGATTAAACCTGGCTTGTTCTTGAAGAACGATAGGGTGCTGGGTGCTCAGGCAAGTGGGGATCAGTGGGGCAGTTATACAGGCATGCAGCTCTGTACAGGAAAGGTCGTGACCCACTTGTGCTCCTGGTTCCCACTTCAAAAAAGAAAGAGAGAAAGAGAGAAAGAGAGAGAGAGAGAGAGAGAGAGAGAGAGAGAAAGAAAGAAAGAAAGAAAGGAAAGAAAGAAAGAAAGAAAGAAAGAAAGAAAGAAAGAAAGAAAGAAAGAAAGAAAGAAAGAAAGAAAGAAAGAAAGAAAGAAAGTTAGTTAGCTGGAGGTGGGAGGAGACCACCCCGAGGAACCAAGTTCCACAGTCTTCCTAGCAGGGCCCTGTCTGTTGTTGAATCAGGGCCTGAGAACGGAAGCAGAGGGTCCCCACGCTTACTTGGAAAAGCTTACTTGGCAACTCAGATCACTTTCCAGGGAGACTCAGGTTACTCTTCTGAAAAGGTTAAACAATGGTCTCACTTGCATTGACTTGAAAAAAAAATTAAGGTCTTGGATTCAACATTAACTTTTTCTGTAAGTGGTGCTTACTGTCATTTTTCCATAAGCAAATATTGAACTGATACAAACTGGACAGATAGCAAAGTGATTGATTGAAAAACTCAGCAATAGTCAATAATGCTCAGTTCAATAGTCTTTCCCCTCCTGATTTTTTGGGGAAAAGTTTTCAAACCTATAAAATTAAAGAAAAATAGGATGCGAACCAGTACACTCTTACACCAGATTTAATGATTGCTAACATTTTGCCTTTCTTTTTCCCTCATTGTCTTATTTCCTTCCTCTCCTCTCTCCCCTTCTGTCTATACAGATTTAGACACGGATACATAAACTTTTTTCTGAATCATTTTATTGTAAATAGTTTATCATGACACTTCATTCCTTAAATATTTTAGGAGGCAACTCCTAAAAATAAGGGCATGTCTCTACATAACTAACAAGATAATTATACCGGCCGGTGCCATGCCTCACTTGGCTAATCCTCCGCCTGCGGCGCCGGCACCCTGGGTTCTAGTCCCGGTTGGGGCACCGGGTACTAGTCCCTGTTGCTCCTCTTCCAGTCCAGCTCTCTGCTGTGGCCCGGCAGGGCAGCAGAGGATGGCCCAAGTGCTTGGGTCCCTGCACCCGCATGGGAGACCGGGAGGAAGTACCCGGCTCCTGGCTTCGGATCGGCGCAGCGTGCCGGCCGTAGCGGCCATTAGGGGAGTGAACCAACGGAAGGAAGACCTTTCTCTCTGTCTCTCTCTTTCACTGTCTAACTCTGCCTGTCAAAACACACACAGACACACACACACACAAAAAAAAAATAATTATACCTAAAACAATAATTCTATAAAATCTGTCCCGTTCACATTCAAATTTCCCTATTTTTTTTTTCCTGATTTAGTGCTTAGTAGTTTCATGACAAATTTAGATGTTGGATTTCTTTTTTAAAAAAGATTTATTTATTTTTATTTGAGAAGCAGTGTTACAGAGAGGCAGAGGCAGAAAGAGAGAGAGAGAGGTCTTCCATCTGCTAGCTCACTCCCCAATTGCCCGCAATATCTGGAGGTGCGTTGATCCGAAGCCAGGAGCCAGGAGCTTCTTCTGGATCTCCCATGTAGGTGCAAGGGCCCAAGGAATTGGGGCATCTTCCACTGCTTTCCCAGGCCATAGCAGAGAGCTGGATCAGAAGTGGAGTAACTGGGACTTGAACCAGTGCCCATATGGGATGCCAGCACTGTAACTGCAGCTTTACCTCCTACTGCACAGTGCCAGCCCCTAGATTTCTTTTAAAATGAGATATTTACCTCACTTTTAAAAAAAGATTTATTTATTTATTTGAAAAAGTTCCTTACACAGAGAGAAGGAAAGGCAGAGAGAGAGAATCTTCCATCTGCTGGTTCACTCCCCAGTTGGCTGCAATGGCTAGAGCTGTGCCAATCCAAAGGCAGGAGCCAGGAGCTTCTTCCGGGTCTCCCATGTGGGTGCAAGGGCCCAAGGACTTGGGCCGTCTTCTACTGCTTTCCCGGAGCTGGATCGGAAGAGAAGCAGCCATGACTTGAACCGTCGCCCATATGGGATGTTGGCACTGCTGGCGGCGGCTTTACCCGCTATACCACTGCAGCAGCCCTTACCTCACTTTTTTAAAAAAAGAAATTGACTTTCTGAAAAATCAAGATCAATTGCCTTGTAGAATGTTCCGTTGTCTAATTATTTCCTTGTGGTGTTTATTCATTTATTAGGTTTTATTTATTTATTTTTGTTTTTTTCGTTGGCAGAGAGAGAAAGAGAGACAAAGAGAAATCTTCCATCCACTAGTTCACTCTCCAAATGCCCAGGCTAAGCCAGGTGGAAGCCAGGAGCCTGGAATTGAATCTAGGTAGCTTATGTGGGTAGCAGGAGCCCATCTACTTGGGCTATCAGCTGTTAACGCCCTCCCTCCCCCTGCCAGGGTGCAGATTAGCAGGAATGCTGAATTAGAAGCAGAGTTGGGACTCAAACCCAAGCGTTCTTTTATGGGCTACAGGTATCCCCAAGTGACATCTTAACCACTGCCAAACTCCTGCCATCTCCTTGTGGTTTTTAACTTGTTCCTCTGCTGTTCTGTCCAGTACAGTAGCCGCAAGCCACATGTTTTTATTTAATTTCAACTTTAATTAAAACAAGTTTTCAGTAGCTTGGGATTACTGTATGGAACAATGCAGACATGGGACATTTACATCCTTGCAGGACATTGATGGACAGTGCGGTTAGCCTGTATTTCCTGCAAGTAGCAGTAAGTCTGTATGCTTGATGAGATTCAGCTTGAGCATTTTAGCAAAGAATAATAGATGACATTACATACTTCACATTACATCACACTGCAGCCACATCAGGTCAGAATGTCTATTAATTATGCTGTGTTTGACTGCTTGGTTATAGTAGTAACTGCCAGATTCTACCTAGTGGTATCTCTCTGGTGTATAAAAAGGTATGTTTCTCTTTGTAGTATCTGTAAAAGGGACATTTAAAAAAAATCTCAAAATAATTCTTCCTGAAATTTATTTATTTATTGTAGCATTTGGCTTCCTCATTTAATTAGATACTCATCCTGAACCATATTAGGTTTTTGTATTGAAATAATAGAGGTGGCTGGCACCACAGCTCACTAGGCTAATCCTCTGCGTGCGGCGCCGGCACCCTGGGTTCTAGTCCCGGTTGGGGCACTGGATTCTGGCCCAGTTGCTCCTCTTCTAGTCCAGCTCTGCTGTGGCCCAGGAAGACAGTGGAGGATGGCCCAGGTGCTTGGGCCCTATACCCACATGGGAGACCAGGAGGAAGCACCTGGCTCCTGGCTTCGGATCTGTGCAGCACGCCAGCCGTAGTGGCCATTTGGGGGGCGAACCAACGGAAGGAAGACCTTTCTCTCTGTCTCTCTCTAACTCTGCCTATCAAAAAAAAAAATGATTTTAAAAAAGAAAAAAAAGATAAAGTAACAGGAAGTGTAAATAAATGTAGTTGCCAACCAAGAGAAGTGAGTCAGGATTACAAAGTCATGGCTAAGTAAGGAAGGCAGATTTGGTTTAGGCTTGGTAGAGGTAAGTTTAGGACGGAATTCTGGAATAAGCAAGAAAGATAGAGGAAGGAGCACTGTGTGAAGGCACAGAGTATAGAATGAGTAAATTATGTGCTTGGACAACAAGAACTTTCATCAAAGAGATTAAAATTTGAGCAAAACATCCCATGGCTCAATCAAGACTCTGAAGAACTACAGTTTAGAGGCAAAGTGACAGAGATGCTCCATCTGCTGGCTCACTATCCAAATGGTCACAACAACAGGGGCTGGGTAAGGCCAGGGGCCCAGAACTCAATTCAGGTCTCCTAATGGGTGGCAGAGGCCCATGAATTTGGCCCATCCTCTACTACTTTCCCAGGCATATTTTCAGGGAGCTGGATTGGATGCCAGGACTTGAACCACTGCTCTGATATGGGATGCTGGCATTTTAAGTGGCAGCTTAACTGCTATGCCACACTGCCAGCCCCCAAACTACTTTCAAAAAGTCTGTATTGGCTTAAAAACAGAAAGGTGTTTGTAAAAAAAATTGAAACAGAAGTATATACAGTAAAAAGTAAGAGATTAAACCACATACCTCCTGACACTCAACCCCCCCAACCCATTACCCCATTTCCCTCCCCAGAGTTACTAGAATAATTTGGAGCGTATGGTGCCAGATCTTTTTCTATAAATATGCAAACATGTACGTAAATATTAGCTAATATTCAGTCTGACTGTATCATAATTTAACCATTCTCTTCATGTTAGCTATTTAGATTTCCAATTTGCTCCATTACAAAAACGCTTCATTGAGTATCATTGCACATATATCTTGCTCAAGTGCCTTTGCTTATTGCTGATATTAG